TCCCCAGAGCAAATAGGATTTTTTTTCTTGTATCATGAACAGCCACAAGCACAGCATTTCTTCTTTCCTTCGCTTGCAAAGCATTTCAAGCCAGATGTCTTCAGGGCATACAGTGATGTCTATATCTCACCACACATTGGATGTCATATCAAGTGTGGCTCTTAACGCACACCTAGCTGACTTACAAAATGACTGTCTGATCACATTCTGTTTATGCATCCTTTGGTACAGCTGCTATAAATTGTAATTTCATGTATGGTTAGAATAGTGATTTACCAGTGAGATTTTTCTAATTCTTTTCACCCACTATCAAATAGGACACAAAAAATCCATTTGTTCACCCTTTTACTCACAATTTAGTTATGAATGTTACCAGACCTAACTGAATGAATTTCTCAAAAAATGGAGTAATGGCATGGTGTGTGGTTTTAGTTATCTACAGCCAGATTACATACTTTTTGACATTTTTTCATAAGATAAAACAACTCTTGTCTCAATTTAGCGTTGCTATTATGAATTGTATCAGATCTAACTTTATTCTCACAATAGAGTAGACAGCGATATATGTAGGAAAAAATCCTGTTTAATTTTAATATCTACGGCCAGATGACTGCATTTTTTTTTTGCAATTCCATAAGTAACAAATATGAGAAAAATAATTATGATTGCCCGATATAATTATGTATTCTCTGGTGGTACTGTTATGAAATTGTCACAATATGGTTAGAATAGAATGGTTAGATACACTTGTGAAAAATCTAGTAAAGTTTCTATATATTAATTGCCAGATTACTAAAAGAGCCAACAAAAGATTCATGTCTGATCACCTGTTTACTTTACGATTTTGTGCTAATGTTATAAATGTTACTAGACCTAATTTTTTTTTTATTTTATAAATGGTTAGAGTAGTAATATACCCGGGTGGGGGGGGGGGGGGGGGGGGGGGGGGGGGGGGGGGGGGGCCTCTCATTTTAAAATCTATAGTCAGATTGTTACATAAATCATAAATGCTTTGTTTGAATAATGATATGCCAATGAAATTGTCACAAAGATCTGTACAGTTTTAGTATCTATAACCAGATCTTTAAATTTTTGTTCAACACATTTACAAGAAAAAAAATAAAGCATTTTTCTAGACTTCTAAGCTTGGCAATGAATGTTGAATTATTTGTAAAAAAAATTTATCAATGAGCAAATTTTAGAATACAATGAATTAACTGTTAAACAAAAATTCAGACTAAACTTTGAAACCACAAAACACAAAATTCAAACATACTGCATAAGAATGTAATCACTCAATTTTGAGAAAATTTTAATAAGTTAATGAAATCCAAATAAGCCTTCTCAGTAGACATCAGGTAATTACAAATATATCTGTATAAAACATACAAATATAATGTCACAAAACAGAAGTGTCATTTTCTAAAATTAATCGCATATTCAAATTTATAGTTTTTCAGTCACTCAGTGGAGCCAATCAAAAGTGACAGACAGGGAAGACAGAAATATACAGATGACTGAAAAATGAATAAAATTGAGTGTCCACACACCAAACAAAGAAAAGCACACACAAAAATGAAAAGTGACAGAAAGGAAGACAGACAGGATCATTCAAATAGTATTGTGAAAAAACACAAAATTTAGTGTTCACAAAAACAACAAAATGAAAAGTGACAGACAGGGAAATTCAAATGACAATGTGAAAAATTAATATTTACAGTGGCCACAAAATGGTTATGTTTTTAATTCTGCAAACAATGCACATATTTTTCAAGTATTCTAATAAGCAGAGCCAGTTGAAAAAAAGGCAGAAATTCAGCAAGGAACATACAAGTACAAACCTGACAAATGTATATACAGTGTCCATAAATGGTATGTTTTTTCTGTAAAAAATGTTCACATTTTTCAGTTCTTCAGTTAGTAGAGCCAGTGAAAAGGTAACAGAAAGTTAGGCGGAACACCGGGTGAAAAGTGTAAAAAAATATAGTGCCCTGAAACGATGTGTATTCTGCAGACAATGTGAATATTGTCTTTTCCAAGTCTTTGTTATATACGATAAATGAAAAATCATGACAGATGAAGTACGCAGTGTCAAAAATGGTCATGTTACGTTTTCAGTAAATGTTACATTCATATTTTTAGTTAGTGGAGGCAGCAAAGATAGTGACAGAGAGATGGAAATACACAGGTGACTAACATGACACCCAGCACCAAGAATCAGTCTATCAACAAACAACAGAGGTCTATTAACAGCAAATATCAGTCTTTCAATGACCACTATTCAGTCCTTGATTCCCATTTCAGTACAGAGAATCAACAAAAAAGTGATACAGAGTGGGACATGCAATTATTAACTTTTACATTTATACAAACCACATACAGGGCGCACATACAGAGAGATTTACAACAAAACTTTCAGCTGTAACAGCAAAGCAAGTGATAGGGAAACAAATAGTTAGGAAAATTAGATGACATGAAGGAATATATACAAGATACTAGACATGAACAGATACACAAAATCCAAAATGAAAAAGTACTGTAGCATTCTGTAATAAATACATTTATTCATCCCAAATCCTATTTAGTCTCAGTCTTTTAGTAGCTGGCAGTAACAGCAAAGAATGACAGACAGGAGGAATCAGAAATGTGAGGACAATAGATATGTGAGCGTAGAAAACCAACAGCTGTCCCCTCCCCAAAAGTCAACCACACTCACCATGTCATATTTACAGGCTAGTATCTCAGCCACAAGATGTGATCCAGTGAGGATTATATAGGTGACAGTAAAAATAAGATGTATAAAAAGCAAGGAGATGGCAATGGATATAAGGGTGACAGTTTGGACAATAGCCATAAGACGGTAAGGAATACACAAGTGATAGACAGTAAGATGTATAATAGCAAAACAAGTAAGGACCATAACAAGAGACAAAAAGCATGAAAGAAAATACATACAGATATATAATATGTGAAATAGAAAACATAATTCCAGAATCCTCACAAGTAAGTTCATATTTACAAAGTCTGTTTACACAGCCAACCATTCAGTAATCAGTAGAAAGAAAAGACAAGAGTGAAAGACAGGAAGACATAAAAATACTGAATATGGAAGGTGTGAAATCTGACCTACACAGGTGTATAAAGTATCCAGTTGTGACATGTATAAAATGGAAATGTATACAGTTTCAAAAATTCTTGTATTCTAGAAACAGTGTTACAGCCACAACAAGTAACAAGTCAATGAAACTAACAGATAGTGACAGATAGACAGACAGCTAGGATATACACATAACAGGACTAGAAATGAGAAACAGTACAAATACATACAATTAACAAAACTACATGCATTTGACTAAATAATATATACATTTTTACAACCAGTCATTCAGCCACTTTGTAGAGTTGAGAAACTGATAGACAAGAGATAGGAATGTACAGAGATGTAGAGAGAATGATGAAAGATAGATCAGAAAGTAAGAACTGTATGCAGAAAGAGGGTGTATATTCAGATTAGATCAGAAAATTATGTTCACAGTAAATAACGTTACTGAAATTAGAGGAAGGTTTAATATATACAGACAGATTGTGGTAATTAACACGAGGGCCACAATTATGATTTAATTCTGCAGGCTCATAAGACATGCAAGTAAACTACTAGTGGGGGGAAAAAACAATACTAGCGGTAAAGTAAGAATGAATAACCAGTACTGTGTATTTACAGAAAGAAACCAGTTGGCATTTTCGAAACCTACATTTTGTCCTCAAGGTATTGTTTCTCTTTTTTTTCCTTCTTTAAAAAAATTTAAAGGTTTCAAAATCAGAAAATCCAGTAAAGGCACGTGATGGGTTTTAGCAGACAGGAGATTCTGGTATATGAAAACATAACAAAAACAGGAAGTGAAGCAGACAGACAGATGTAGTCGCTAAGGTGATACACGCCATCAAATTCTCATGTGATACATTTTCTATGTAAAGATGCAAGTCTGAAAGACATGTGTAGATTAACCATACATCATAAAAAAGGGTCAAAGCTTAAAGTCTTTCGCTAAATAAATATGGACCAATGAACAAACCAAAAATCTTTTAACGGATCAATAATTAAATTAATCTACCAATCAAAAGTTGAAAGCTAGTTGTGTTTACTTTGCAGGGCCAAGCAAACTAGCTTGAGCCATTTGTTGGCTGTCCTTTTAATGGTTCTGCTATGCAATTTTTCTCTCAAAAGTCTCCATTTCATTCTGACTGGTTTGACGTCAATTCATATGAATGGTGAAATCAGTGGAAAATTGCTACCCACCAAACAAATTAATTAATTATTGAGCCGTTACATCTACTTCCGCACCCAGGAAGAAATCCCAGTGAGGTACCACAGTTCAACGGTCACAAATCCCAAAAGTTTGACCCTTTTTTACGAGGCACCATAACACCAAATGACAACTGGTAATGAACCAATCAGCCAGCTGATAACCTGCTTCACCAAAAACATTGGTGCGGCAAGTCACAACAGTCCATCATCACTGGTCGACCAGGATAAAATAAAGCAAATCAGATATAAAAGACATAAAAAACAGGTAACAAAATATTACTAATACTAATATTGCACTTTAGGTAGCACTGTCTACTTGTACAAAAACCAACAAACTGAACATTGTAAAAATGCAAGTGGGTGGGTAACACTTCAAGACATTTAAAATCATTTAGAGACTTCTAAATACTTAAATCCACAAGTGTGTTACTTCCTTCAATTGGTGACACTGTCAACGGCTGGTCCAAATAACCAACACTGTGTAACTTAATAAGACATTCCTCTGCACAAGAAGTATAAGCAACAGTTCATAATTTCCATTCTGTGAAGTTCTAATTCCACACTTTGAAGCTTGATTTCAGTTGTGAAAGATGTATTCGAATATCCATCCATCAACAATCATCTGTACAGTAATGTTTTTGTTTCGCACAAGTAGACAGGTGTTGAAATGTAGTCATTTCCATTTTGTCAGCAACTACAAGATTGCCAGGGCACGTGGAGCTGGCAGTAACGACACCTTGGCAAACCTGTTGAATGGAAACAAACCACAGAATAAACAAATGTACAGATCAGGTGTTTTTAACCTGGCCAGGGAACAATATTTAGCAGTTTTTAATGTTTAAGTTAAAAAATATTTATGGACCCTTTTCACAGTGTCGGCTCTGTGGCTAAGTTGATGCGAATGCTTCGCTTCGGATGCCAGGTTCGATCCCAGCTGCGGGCACTGCGCCTTGCGTTGGTTTTGACAGTGGTATCAAGAATGCCGACCGTCCAGAAAGCAATGGCAAACTACTGGAAGTAAATTGCCTAGAGAAACCACACAACAGCTAGAGGCTTTAAGGGTTGGTTCTGCAACGCCCTGTAAAGGATACGCAACTAGGGGCCACAAATTAATTTTAGCTGCTTTTTCTGGTATCCACTTAATCTGGGCTGACCTGGAAGCCATGTCATTATCGAAAACAGAATTACTGATTTTTTGTCTTACAAAAGTCAGTTCGACAGGCAGAGAATCCAGCATTTAACCACCATTCTTTAATGTGTGCATATACTGAATCTTTTCTTGTGGTAAACTAAAACACTTTTCAGTTAAAGCTTCAGAAAATAACTTTACAATTTTACAATTCATGATTGCCTTTGGTGCTCCATTTCATAAGCCAGATTCATCATCACCACTTTTGACAGTAAAGGTAGATGGGAAGGACAGGTCACATGCCAACAGTCATTATGTAGCACTAGCTAGTGTCACTACTAGAATACCCTTAATGTCATCAATCTTCCTGTTTGCAGCTTGGTGGTTGATCTGCAGATTTACCTGCTATATGTTTAACTTGGCTAATGAGAAAATAAATAAATTGCATGTTTATACCAACCCTCTGCTACCAATGCCAAACCTAGTCCCTAACAAGTGCACAGGAGAAAAAGATCACGACGTGCGAAATGAGATGCTTACGTAAGGCTGCCAATGTCACAAGGAGAGACAGAGTTCGAAACGAGAACATTAGAGCAATTGTAGGAACCACACCATGCCTGCAATACATAAAGAAGCAACAAATAGAGTGGTTTGGCCACTTGATGCGAATGCAAACCGACCAACTGCCTCTATGAGCATACAACAAACAGCACTACTGCCCTAGAGCAAGAGGCATACCGAGAGTACGATGGATAGACAATATATCAGAGATCCTGAGGCAACACGGACTAACAACAACAAGTGCAACACACCTGGCCCAGGATAGAAAACTACGCTGTGAGGCAATTGTGGACAAGACAAGACAATGAGAAAATAAACTCCAGATTTCTTTTAAATATACTGGTCTCTAAAATGTAAATTATTTTGCCTAATAAGCTGCAAAGGGAAGAATATAACAAAATGGACCTCAATGAAATTATCAGGGTCACACAAGCTATGCAGAGCTAGTCCGATAAACAAGAGTGAAATCAGCAGATTAGTGAGGGAATTCAAAACCTGTGAGGAGGTTTTCTAGAAGAATGAGAACCTGATGGGTAGATGATGCATAATGAAGATTTCTTGAAACCAGTTAACTTACCAAGAAAAATAAAATCTGCAGCCATATAATGAAAGGCAGAAAACAAGTAATGACAAATGACAATAGGAACATTAAATACGAGTTACAGAGAGACCAAACTAGACACGTAAGTTTATTTGGCATCACAGCATGGAAGACCATACTTATCAGGTGACAGGAGGCTGCAGAAAAACAGGATGACTGAAGCCACAAAATATAGGACCATAAAAAGAACAGGGATGGAGAGGTGCTGAACCATACGTGGTGGTCCATCAGAAGCAAGGGATCACACAGGTCAAGACCTATCCCCACCTCTCTGTGGTAATTCTAAAAACAGCTACCCAATCCGAGGCCTGAGCGCCAGTTTAGAAAAGATCTGCCATTTCCTTTGAAGTCAGAGCACATCTGGCCTGCATCTGCATACAAATAAGCCAAATCTGTCTTTTTTTCTTTGGGTTCACCAACTGTAAACTGTTTGCCCACTTCTAGACTTTTAGTCTTTTTACAGAACCTGAGTGTTGCGTGTGCATCCATTTTACAGGTGTTAGTCATTTGCATGCAGCTGGTGGTTCCTTGCCTCTTACGGCATGCTATAAGGTAGGCAGTGGGTCTATTATTGTGTTCCCTGCAAAAAGGCTCCAGAACCCACAAGGGAAAGCCATGTCTGTAAAAAGGGATGTGCAGGCATGGAAACTCCTGGCACAATCCCAAATGTGGATGAACATCAAGGACTTTCCACCAGCCATTAACCTAAGTTGTTTTATAAATCAAAAACCATGTACAAAAAAGGGGGATATCTGAGCACCCCTACAAAACACAAAGACTCAGTGACTGAATACTCACTTGCTCTGTTTGTATTTCTCAATAACTGCTTGTTGGGGCATCACATCTTTCCGCCTGTACTGAGAAAACAGCAGCTCTATGCATGGCTTCAATTCAGCCAGTGAGTAACCACTGACCTGCTCCATATGATGGGGCTAAAGGGAATAAAATGGGTAAATTATAATGATTTATCTAACAATACAGGAACTCTTTAACCTCATTCAGTGACAACTCTATCAAGAACTGGAGAGGGGGGGGGGGGAAGGTAGTGATGCATGAGCTGCTTTATAATTCTATCATTTTGTTACCGGGAAAATAATGTTGACAATATTGACTTTTCCGAAGGTTGCACAGATTTTCTTTATATGCTTGCCTGCTTACTTAGTCGATCCTCTTCTACCTGGAGGCTGCGTGGTCTCAAGGCATGGTGTCCGCAGAGTACTAGAAGTTCTGGGTATAATCCCTGGTAAGGGTTGGGATTTTTTTCACGTGGACTGGAACTTCTAGTACTCCTCTCTGGGTAGTGAGATCGTAAAAAATCCATATTTGTACGGCCAAACAGATTCACAAATTCAAAGGCCAAAGATAAAATACTAAAAAAAATTGGCAATAAGGTCTTTTTTTCCAGAAGAGTGGCTGGCTGAATCGCAAAAAACACAGGGCTTTCATCAAAATGAAGAACTATGCAGATGATAAAGGAAGATAGTGACAGCCTGGGAGTGAGAATTCCTCAGAACATTTTAGCAAGAACAATTTTCCAATCCGTGGCAACCAGACATGGATACATGGACGACCTTACAAAGACCTGGAAACATAGATGACCTAAGGAGACCTGGAAAGGGAAAGTAGAAAGGGAAATAAAGGAATGTAAACTGACGCTGGATGCCATAGCCAGAAAAAAAGCAGACTGGCAGTAATAGAGATATCTTGTGACAGCCTTGTGTGAAAAGAAAAAAAACTTGCCACAACCAGTAGAAAGCACATTCTTGACACAGTAATGTAAAAAGAGCAGGTGGGAAAAGTAGACAGGACATGATACATTCTGCAGAGAAGAAAAAAAAGCATAAGTGCGAAACATCTTCTCTTCTGCCTTTCTATCCCCCAATGGAGCACAGGCCCTCAACCAACTCACGCCCACCGTGACATGGAGCTCTCCCCATCTTTTTAACTTCATTCTTCAGCTCTCTTCTAACACACATTCACATTATCATGTGACTTACCCATGGGTTTTGCACATCAAGAACACTGCGAGCTATAACAATTGCACTGGCTGCGATGATGCTCTGGCGGTACGCTAGGAACTCTTCAATCTCAATCAGTGACAACTCTATCAGGAACTGGAGAAGAGAACAAAGAATGGAGATGGTGCTTAAACTCTTTTTATAACTACACTTTGCTACCTGGATATACATAACAAAGATAGGGGTATTTGAACTCTGAAGGTATCCTTCACAAACCACACTAAAATAACAGCTTCAGAAGCAACTCTGTGTAGCTTTGGGGCGACATTTTCTTCCTCTACCCTACTAGAGTCGGCGTCTATGGCTTAGATATTGCAAACGCAATTCATAATGTTAGGGTGTTCGATCTCAGCTGATTTAGAAGCCAAAAAGTTTTTCAGATTGTAATCTATATATATTGGTCTTTTATCTGTAAATCTTCTACTCTGCGTCTTTCACCTTTCAATGGAGATACATTTAAAAGGTTGTAATTGTATTTACACTGACAACAAAACTGACACTTCAAATACTGATATCAAGGTGCAATATTTAAAAACAATTGAAGATATAAAGGTTACTTACAAAAGCAAGGCATCTGGCTTTGTCAGGCATGTCTATCATTTCAATAAATCGTTCACAGAACCAGTTGATAGTCGGCACAGCAACCTTGAATCCAAGCATTCTCAGGATCACTGTCTCCATCTTTAAAATCTGGGTAACACATTATACAGGATTTAGAATGGGATTGGTACAGTATATAATTTAATTTTATTTCTTACAGACAGATGTACAGAAACAACGTAGTTCAAATATTTTATGCTTTACTATGTGTTGATTTACTCTGAAAGTAATGCACCTGACAAGATACAGCAAAAAAACACCAGGCAGTAAATTTTGCAATGTATTGTTTCTGTGCACATTATTGAAATTTACAATAGGAAAAATGTTTTGGACATAATTGTGTTGAATAATTTGTGTGCCATTGCCACACAGAGTTGCACTGCTGTCTTTGGGAATAATAGGGTCTCCAGTCACTACTGTCACAACTATGAGAAAAATTTTTTTATGGCACAGAAATCCAAATTTTATATGATCATTTAATGTGATTTGCTAACAGGGTTACTTGTTTATAGCTTATAGTTTATAGCTAACATTATTGGCTAATATTCTCAAATAAATAAGATTTACTAAGCAGTAAGTTGTTTCTTATTCTGAGTTTTTTAGAGTTCATATTCTTAGGGCTCTTTGCATTCCTGAGTTGTTTGTGCACATCTGTTTTACAGATCTGGCCTACTTGTACACAAACTGTCAGTTCCTCATCTCTCAGCTACATGCACTTTTTAAAGAGAAAAAATTAAACCCTTACTTTGCCTTTTAAACATGCGAGTTGGGTGGGTGATTGGGAAAGGAGGGGGTGCTGTCCCTATATCTTGCGCAGGCACCAGTTAGTTAATGCTTATTTACCTTATTCTTTTACTCACCTGCTGTTTATTGTAAGAGTCGTCGGTGATGTAAACAAATTCAGCAACATCAGGTGGGTAGATCTCTTCATATTTCCTGCATTACAAAGAAGATTCTTTATAGAAAAAATATTGGAGAATATGGGCTAGTGTCTAAAACTAGACAACCTTTAACAATTTATATCTAACCAATCTTGACATAAATGTTTGCTGCAATGAAATGTAGCCAAAGCTTGTCACCAACTGGCTTTGTTTTCCACAAAATACATACATTTTCAGAGAGCCTAAATTGCTGTGTCTTTCCTTCTGCAGTATATCACAGCCCTCAATTCTTCACACTGCAAACTCTGGTGGAAAGTTCTGGTTATTTGTCCACTTCTGAACTGCAGTCCTGATCCATAACCTGTGTTGCGTGTGGATCAGTTTTACAGATCTGATTCACTTGAATGCAGACTGTTGGTTCCTTGCCTCTCAGGCAGATGCACTTTTAAGGAAGCTTCCCAATTGGTCGACATTTACGACATGCTTTTGGGTAGGCAGTGGGTCTATTCTTCTTTTCCCCACAATGGGGCCCTGGAACCCACACGGGTAAAGGTTTGTGACAACCTACAGGATTCTGTGCATGGTTCTCAGGACTATCATTTGAGGTCATATTCACACTTTAAGAAAAAGGAAGATATATAGTGAACTGCAGACAAGCTTGTAATACTTTGTTATTCTTTCTTCCTCAAATATTTCATTTGGACGCAGCTGTTGTATCTGCAGAGCTGTGATATTTGCACCCAGGTAACCACTGTGTTAGTCCAGTTGATCTGGATCTGGAGGCATTCACTGTCACAAGGAGCATTTAATTTTTGTAGCAGCACCACATATTAGTCAACAAATGCCCCATTGACTGGCATGGGTGATTAGGACTCCTCAAAACTTGCAATCTCAAACAGCATTTATCAGCTGACAAAAGCACAACCTTGACAAAATTCTGTCAAGAATCATGTTCATCTCTCTCTCCACAGATCTTTAAAATCATAAAAACTTTTCTCTTGCTTTCACTTCAGATCCTTACATATGTAGCATCTTCAATGGTAGTTGTTCTGGCTGCATTCTTACTAAATGACCAAACCATTCGATCTTCTGTTTCTCAATTAATTTGCTGCCTGGTGTTCCTACAGTCTGATAATATTTCTGTCTCAGATGGTTAGGTTAGCGGCTTTTCTCGGGCATCTCATTTAGCAGGTGTTGATTTTACGTAGGATAGTCTTTAAAAATGTCCACGTCTGGCCCTGGTAGCAGTGCTGGTATGAGTATGCTGTTTTGTTTATAATCTGTTTCTTAGGGTTCATACTTATGTTTGGATGTCTTAATAACGTGTCAGTTTTCACCCCTTTAAATGATCAACATTATCCATTCTGCACACATCGAAAAACAGGAGTGGGTAATCATCATCTTCAATACTACTTCTGCCGTTTAGCGTTGTAGGGAGGAACAGTTTGCGATCCACTGCTTGATGAGCAGGAGTGGGTAAAAATTGGGGCTGTACCGAATATTCGCTTCAGGGCCGAATATTGGACCTAACTATTTGGTATTCGGCTGAATACTTGCGGTCAGGCCGAAAAAGAATAGTGGTTACCTTACACACGTTTCTGCATAAACTGCAATGGACTAAAATAACTCTCTAGCGGGGGAAACTGCGACCCGGTACAGCAGCTGGCAAGGTCTTTGCCTGCTGACTCGACTGAGGCATTACATCAGAGGTTCTCAAACTGGGTGTGTATGCCAGGGGTGCCGCGGCGAAAATCAAGAAAAGTCGGCTATAAATTGTGACATTTTTAAAGAAGGCATGAAGATACTTTAAAGTTAAAATTTAAATCGTCTTAACTTGCCACTGTCGAAAAGAGTTTTTTCCTTGTTTCACACTCAAAGTGTATCATAAAATGCCAACCGAATTTGTCTTTGTATTTATCGAGGTGCTACTGTATTCGTTAAAGTGCAGGGATAAGTAAAGTTGTGATTACATTATGGCTGAAATTTTAAAGTGAAAAATGTGGTCTGTACAACAGTAACTGTTAGCCTTGTCAAGTAGGCACTTATATTTAAAGGCAATGGGTTGTGAGTCCTGGACAATCGATAGGCAGGCTAAACAATTTCTTGAGGCCTCAGAGATGTGATTTTACAGAACAATGCTTAAAATACCTTGGACAGCCAAAAAAGAAAGCAACAAAGAGGTTTTGAAAGAGGTGGGAGCGTGAAAAGAACTAATCACAGACATCAGAAGGAGATATCATTTTTCGGCCAAATTCAAGGACCATTCCTCTAATTTAAAATTTTGTATCAGTGACTTGGTCTCCTTTTTTTTTTTACCTCCCTATCTGCAATGAGAAGAGGGAAAAAGAACATGTTGTGACAACTAGAAAGATCTGTGGAAGGGGGGATAGAGGAAGACAAGAGAAGATTCTTGACAGTCTTGACATGGCATGGAAGTGTATCAGCACACGAACTAATACATGCTGCAGGAGATCGCAGATTGTGGCGAGGCATAATCGCCCACGCCAGTCGGCAAGGCACCTGATGATGATGATACACTATTCGTATTCGGCCGAACAGTTGGTCCCGCTATTCGTATTCGGCCGAATAGTGAAACTAACTAATCAGTACAGCCCTAGTAAATATGACATAATAAAAACACTTACGCAGCAATGAACATGCTTGCTGCTCCAACAAGTTGCAGTTTAGGTCTAAACACACCAACCACACTGAGGAAGCGATCAATGTAGTTCACTGCCAGAAACAACGTCTCTCTCTGAAGCTTATATTCCTCTCCAACCTGAAAGAATTTTTTAACACAAAATTATATTTTTAATGTTTCAAGTTAAAAGTATCAATGTCACTGCACCAGGCTTCACCCAAAATGTATGCTCTCTTCACACATCAGCTAGCCACCTGTTGAGAAGGCAACTAAACTAATTCTAGCGGAAATGAGCGATTTCCATACAAATTGCACTCGGGGAGTGACGAATTATTGTACAAAATAATTAAAACTGGTATCAAACTGAATGTCACAGAAAAACTTCCTTAACTTTATTTTAAAATAAATTTTGCCAAAATATCTGACACAAATTGTTTTTATAGGCCATCACCGCAATTTAGGTCGACTGCAGTCTTCTTTCTTCTTTTGCATTCACATGCTGTAAACTCTGGCCGAAAGTCCTCATTTGGCCACTTCTGGTGTTACGTCTACAAACTGTGTGCATACCCATATTATATATCTGACTGGTGCACTGATTTTGAAGGAAGGACCCCTAAGTAGCCTACTTTTACAACTTGCTTACTTGCTTGTTATGAGGAGGGGTGTATGAAAAAGTCTGAAGAAAAAATATTGTGGCTTATAATTATCACAGGTCAGAAAATAGAATACAACACAGAGCTAACCAAAAAAACCAAGTTACAATGAAACAACTTACCTCTACTAGCCAGTCAACAAGAATATTTCTCATGGATGTGGTCACGTCACACTGACGGGACATGTAACTCTTATCTGGCCAATATGCACACTGGAGAAATGAAATAAACATGATGATCATATTAACACACCAAACACTGATACGACCAAAAGCAAAACAAAGACCGGGCTAATTCTGGCCATCAGTAGATTAAGCGTATTGTAGACCCAAATCATATAGACCTATCAGCACTTGATAGCTGAGAATTATGCAGGCTGTCATTTCCTCCCAGTAAATTTCCAAATATATTTTAGAGTAGGTCGATCTGAATGCCAAGGTCATTTGCAAAATATCTCCCTGTGTGGGTTCCAGGGCCCCATTGTGGGGGAAAACAAGAATAGACCCACTGCTTTCCCAGCAAGCATGTCGTAGGAGTTGACTAACTGGGGACTTTCTTTGAAGTGCATCTGCTCGAGCAGTAAGGAACAACCAACTGCACACAAATAAGCCAGTTAAACGGATGTATGCACAAAACTCGGGTTCTGGCACAAAGCCAAAGTCCAAAAGGATAAACAACTATGAGTTTCCACCGAAGCCTTTAGCCGATGAGCAAAGAAGATGATTTGCAAAATATCTGAGACAAAGCAGATTTAAACAATCAGGTTAGCAGGAAAGAAACTAGCACTGCCCTACCAGCGTTCCTGGTTACAATTTAACCACTTTAAAAACTACAACTAAGGCCTATCGCACAATTGTAAAATGCTCAGTGCTTCTAATATTCATCTCCTAACTGAGCACAGGCCTTGAGACAAAGCCAGGAAAAAAACTTTGGTAGGCTTGTTCTTTAGTCACCGGCAGGGAAAGTCCCGATTGTCCCAGCTGGTCTATCATGCAGATGCAATCTACTTCGAAGGAATTCCCCCCCCCCTCCCCCAACATACTTGCGGGGGAGGCAGAGTCTATTATTGTTTTCCCTACACCAGGGTCCCAGAACACACATGGGGAAGGCTTCTTTGGCAGTGCAGGTAATTGTTCTACAAGATAAAGTAAATAGTTCTCTTATCTGCCTCCTAAAATATTAATGGCAGGTTGGTGTTAGATGTGTTTTCTTTCCCTTTTCAGACCCACTGCAGATTCCATTCTTAGCTCAATCCCTTTAAACTATTTTCTAAACATGAAAAATGTTGCAGTTTATCGGGACGTTTTAAGCTCCACGAACTTTAAAAAACAATCAGCATATGTACAGAGCAGTGTTTTGTGTCCAGGAGAAATCTAGTGAGTGAACTACTAGATGGGATTCGAGTGGATTATGAACAGTGCTGGATACAGTTTATAAATCTGAGGGAGATACACACAGCAATGCACCTCAAGAGCTAGTAGTGCTGAAGAAGATAGTTTTCAATTGCTCCTAAACAGACCATGCTCATTTTCATCAACAAAGAAAGCCTGCTTAGATAGGTTTGCAAGAATACACGATAACTGTCAACATCAAAATATTTAAAACATAAAAACGTATTGCTATTTTTTGTTCACATGACAGCCAGTAAATTCTTACTTCCACTCTCCTCATGTAGCTGTAGATATCCTGGAAGTAAGGCTCCAGACCAAACTCATCATTCTTCATTGGGCTGCTATCAAGACTCCTGCTGAAGCTATCATCAACAAACATCGGAGATGCTGCTGTAATTCAAGCACATCTCAGTGTCAATGCAGAACTTGTAGATTACAACCGACAAAACATTTATGCTGGGAAATTATGCCATAAAATCGCAGGTGCGCTATATGATCACAGTGAGGCTTGTACAATCACAGTGAGGCTTGTACAATCACAGTTAGGTTGGTACAATCTCCACAGTTAGACTGGTACAATCTCCAGTTAGACTGGTACAATCTCCACAGTTAGACTGGTACAATCTCCACAGTTAGACTGGTACAATCTCCAGTCATGCTGGTACTCTCCACAGTCATGCTGGTACACTCTCCACACTCAGACTGGTACACTCTCCACAGTTAGACTGGTACAATCTCCACAGTTAGACTGGTACAATCTCCACAGTTAGACTGGTACACTCTCCACAGTCATGCTAGTACAATCTCCAGTTAGGCTGGTACAATCTCCAGTTAGACTGGTACAATCTCCACAGTTAGACTGGTACAATCGCCACAGTCAAGCTGGAACACTCTCAACAGTCAGGCTGGTAAAACTGCCACAGTTAGGCTGGTAAAACTGCCACAGTTAGGCTGGTAAAACTGCCACAGTTAGGCTGGTAAAACTGCCAGTTAGGCTGGTAAAACTGCCACAGTTAGGCTGGTACAATCTCCACAGTTAGGCTGGTACAATTTCCACAGTTAGGCTGGTACAATCTCCACAGTTAGGCTGGTACAATTTCCACAGTTAGGCTGGTACAATCTATACAGTCAGGCTAGGCACAAATTTTAGCCAGCTGTCCATAATTAGGCCAAACAATCTCTAAATTAAGGCTAGCACAATTGACAGTTAAGCTAGTTTAACTTTTATTAAAAAAAAATATTCAATCAGACAGTTCAATCTTCACAATTATGTGCATTACTTTCTTAGAATACATGTTAAACACTACAAAATAATTAAAGTAAGCACTCTATAGGCATACACAGATCTCTGTGTGGGTAGGTATGTGTGTGAGTTCAACAAACATTACATACCAGTTACAGATGCTGAAGGCTTGTTTAACTCCAGAGGATGTACTAAGTACTGTGCAACATGACTGAAGCTCTCTGGTGCATCAGGAAACAGATTCTCAGTATCCATCATTGGTTCATCTTCACACGATGCTTGTCTCTGGGCAAGAGCTGGCGCTGCTACATCCTCAAAGATGGCAAAACCTCCAAAAGCTGATCCAAATCCTTTTGCAACGGCAGGAGCTTGATTTTCCTGTCCTTCTGCAATTCTAAATCCTTGCTGAGCCAAACCGTGTTGCTGAAAAATGTTAAGGTTTTGTTAAAGATGAGCTAATTACTGTGCTACATAAATACATTTTCTATATTCTATATTTATAGTTGGAGAAGATTAGATTAAGCCTTGGTTCAAGGACCTAGCCTGGCTTCCATTTCTTGTTCACACAAGGCTGGTTGGGCTCTCCAGATCATGTACCACTGTAGCTGCCGCTTTCTTCCAAATTCAGGCTGGTTAATGTAAAAAATTATTTGAGCCAGAAAGTGCAAATTATAGACAAAAAAATTCCAGATCTATTACATGCAAAGAACAAGGTCCCATATTTTTTTTTTTGCAACAATAAGATCAAATGTAAAGATTTTAACTACATTTATATTGGCATCATGAGCTATGACAGTAAACACTAGCAATCATGGTTTATTTCTTTTGGCATATGCTGAGAAAAATCTGGACTGTGCCCCTAACTTCTAAAATTTTTGGTTTCAGCCTTATTAAGGACAATGTTTTTCTCTTGCTTTTCTGCAAAATGTCTAAAGAAACAGCTGACACCATTCATCTGTTATACTGCCTATAGTTTACATGCAAATAGGACTACAGGCTCACTGCAATCTTTTTTTTTAAAGTGTTTTCCTTTTTCTCAAAAGGTCACTCTACAAAGTCTTGTACATCTGTGTTATGACAGCAAACACTTCAGTAATATAGATTAACCCAACCAGAACCACAGAATTTGTTTACTGAATTAAAATGAGTGCAAGGAAAATCAATGTTAACAATAAAACTATTCAAAAAGAAAATTAGGATGTGAAGTGCATATTTACCTTTCCTTTTACCAGTCTTTGTGGCTGTATCCTCAACTGGTTGGTAACATTTCCCAAAGCATGTCTCTTGGCATTTGCTCTGGTCACTTTGGGATGGATATTTTCCTTAGATACTTCATCAGAAGTTCCAGCATTGCTGTTTTGTGATCTGAACACTCCGGCCATTGTTACTAGTTTCAATATAATCCTTCTGGTTAATCTGAAAACAAAAACAAACCTTTATTAACAAAACAGAAATACAGTAGCCAACTTTGAAGGACTGGTATTAGATGATTTGGTCTTGGGCTTTTAAACTAAAACGGATGACCAGTTTGCTTTTGGGACATTAGCCTGGAGTCTTGATGTATCCAAGATTTTGGACTTCTTTTCTAGAAAAGTACTCACTACAGTGTCTTAGAAAAGGTGCCAGTACTTATTACAGTGTCTTAGAAAAGGTGCCAGTACTTATTACAGTGTCTTAGAAAAGGTGCCAGTACTTATTACAGTGTCTTAGAAAAGGTGCCAGTACTTATTACAGTGTCTTTAGAAAAGGTGCCAGTACTTATTACAGTGTCTTAGAAAAGGTGCCAGTACTTATTAGTCTTAGAAAAGGTGCCAGTACTTATTACAGTGTCTTAGAAAAGGTGCCAGTACTCACTACAGTGTCTTAGAAAAGGTGCCAGTACTTACCACAGTGTCTTAGAAAAGGTGCCAGTACTTATTACAGTGTCTCAGAAAAGGTGCAAGTACTCACAAGTGTCTTAGAAAAGGTGCCAGTACTTATTACAGTGTCTTAGAAAAGGTGCCAGTACTTAGTCTTAGAAAAGGTGCCAGTACTTATTCCAGTGTCTTAGAAAAGGTGTCGGTACTCAAAAGTGTCTTAGAAAAGGTGAAAGTACTTAGTGTCTCAGAAAAGGTGTCGGTACTCACAAGTGTCTTAGAAAAGGTGCCAGTACTCACAAGTGTCTTAGAAAAGGTGCCAGTACTCACTGCAAAGTGTTACACCAGCGCTAAGAAAAAAATGATGCCTAAAAAGTGCCAGTACTACTATTGCATACTGTAGGTGCCACCAGAAACACAGCCCTGCAAAGATGTCTGGAGGAAAAGTCTCTCTCCATGACTGCATCCTAGACAGTTCATATATTCTATGTTGAATCATGACATAAGATTAGTCAGGACTTTCTATGGAAATGAGGGCTTAGAAAGGGCTAAGTAGAGCAAAAATCCCTGTGGAGTAGTTCTTTGGTAATAAGTTTGGAGAAATAAAACTCTAAAACCAACGGATGCAATCCCATCAAGACATGGTTGTGTAGTGTCTCCAAGGCAAATCTAGGGATAGTATGAATTTTCTAAACCAGACAAATCCTGCTGTTTGTTCTGTATACAACAAAATGCTAAGGAAGGTTCAATACAAATGCACTAAGTGCAATGTCTTCTGTGGCTCTAGATTATAGAAGTTAAATTCATTAACAACGAAGGTTGGCCGCAGTGAATCTCCGTATCCTGCCTATTGATCTGAGATTGCTGTCTGCCCATGTATCCTTCTACTTGTATTGCTGTCTGCCTCTTGCTCAATAGCTTTAAACTTATTCCTCCAATATTGTTTTTGAGTGATATCTTTTTACGTGACAGAAATATTTCATATTAAATTTCCTTCAGTTTTTTACCTTCTCAGGACCTCTGTATAGAATTGTTAAATGTGACCCATGTTAAGCACTTTACATGGCTATTTTCTTGATTAATATTCCAATGGTTTGATCAACAGATTAACATCATAGCATAAGGGTAGTAACCCATAAGTCCTTCATTCTACTAACTCAAGCCTGAGTCTGAAAATCTCAGTGCAGTGTCCGAACTCTGTTGCACCAGCAAGGATCCTGAACTACTTTGGGTAGATTTTTAATACTACATTTTGTCCGGGCAGTGCTGTTATGCTACTATTTTCGATTTGAAAAATGTCAATGAATTCTGTATGTGCGCAAAAATATGACCATCTAATCGTACTACCCAGAGACCAGGAGAAATTACTAGAAGTCCATGTGAAAAAAAAACCTGGCCTTCACTAGGCCTGAATCCAGGTCTCAAATATGGGGTGGAAGCCATGCCCCAAGACCACTCAGCCCCCACTGACTAGACATTCACTGGTTGTCTAACACCCCCTCTTCTGCCAAGTGCTCTGGAATAGCTTTCACTTACAATTTACATTATTACAAGCAGCCATGCCATTGCCTAGTGAGACGCTAGTTCAATCGAGTTTCAGGTCGAGTCTCCGTAACACCAGAACGAGGAAATGTCCTAGGAAGTAATGATGGCCAGTGTGAGGGTGACCAACATATCACTCAAATACCCACTGGCGTAAAAAGATACAAATAAGGGCTAGCATCTTATGCCTACTGCTCCATAAAAATAGATACATGTTTTTTTTTTTCAGGACAGGATGTCACTCTTCTTAGCGTTTAGTCTGTAAATTTTAGCAGATGAAAGTTTTGGTTGACCACTGCTGGACTTTGTTACAGATCTTGGGTTTTGCAAACAAATCCACTTTAACAGATGTGGCTTATCTGTTTGCAGAATTTTGGTTCCTTTCCTTGCAGGCAGAGGCACTACGACTTCAAAGGAAACAACCCTAATTAGTCAATCCTACAACATGCTTGTTGGAGTTGGGCAGCGGGTATATTCTTTTCTCCAAAAATCTTGGCACACATACTATACTGAAGCTATATGCTTTAACAGTAAACTCTGATGAGTATCTTCCCACAAATGATTCCACATGTAGGGACAGTCTCATTGAGGTTTGAACAAAGGATTAACATCATGGCTCATGGGTAGTAACCCATAAGTGCTCCGTTCTTCTAACTCAGGTCTGAGTCTGAAGAAGCTCAGCACACATTGCACAGGCTTTGCAGCACTGGCGAGGATCCTGAAATACTTCGGGTACATTTCTAATTCCAAATTTTGCCCCATCAGCGTTGTGAGGCTACAGGGACAGTCTTGTCTGTCCAGTCTTTTTAATTCCTCAGCAACCAAACTATTATTGCACCTGGATTAAAAATAATGTATCTAGTAGATGCTTGGTCCAGATGTTTTGGGAGTGAATCAAGAACTGGATTTCCCTTCCCCCCTCCTCCCCCCCCCCCCCAAAGTGACCTTGGCTCCCATGTAAACCAAGTCTAAAATCAGAACAAGGTAATGTCCCGGGAAGTAAAGGTCACCGGTGTGATGAGTACATAACCCACTGAGTGCTTAGTCTATAAATTAGTCCAGTAGCATTATGGCTGATGCACCACTATCATTCACTTTGTGGACCACTGCAAGCATTATAACATGCCCCAACACTACAGTAACCTAGCATTATACAATGTTTACTAGACAAATGTTCACAGTAAGGAAACTGGTCGCAGCCTTCTATGATGTATCCTAGGATATGTAAAGAAAGGCCTTAAGCTTCACATCTCAATATCTAAAAGTCTAGTTGCATATCATTTACAGGACATTGCAGAACCAGCAGCCCCTGGCTGTTGTGTGGTTTCTCTAGGCAAATTTACGTCCAGCAGTTTGCCATTGCTTTCTTGAAGGTCAGCCCCCTGATACCACTGTTGAAACCAACACAAGGTGTATGGCCCGCAGCTGTGATTGAACCCGGTACCCGGCATTAGGAAGCGCTCACATCGACTTAGCCACAGACTCTCAGTATCAACAGATACCCAATTTACCTTTTACACCTGGAGAAGATGTCTTTGCCTTCCCCAGTACAGCATTAAGTGGAAGAGAAAAAGCTCAGAGGAAAAGTAACATATAATTAGACTACTAGTTGTACGACTGGTACTGTAACCCTGTGATGGTTGGCTGCTGAAGATGGGGATGGAGTGCTTTTATGGGAATGCCCTAAGAGCTGTGATAGTTCTTGACAACTCAATAAAATTATACATACAGAACTTCAGACAACCCATTCATGTCAGGCACTTTTTTTTATCTTGTTTGCTTTTAATTTTACAGCTGTGAGACGAGACGTAGCCAGTCTCATGCCAACATCACTTTGCAGCCTCTTATGACATGCATAGCATGTTAATGTGTTCTCTGCTTCCCTTATTGGCCCTTCCCAGGTCGACCTTGCATATAAGTTACAAGGAAATGCCTAGGGAGGTAAAGGTGATTTATGACATTTTAACCACATTTACATCATATACCTCTGGTGTAAAAAGGGACATTTGCTTTCCTTTATTCGCCCATATAAACTAGCAGACGGTACTATGCATCTACAACAGTCTATATATCGGATTTTATAGCTACATTATTATTTCTAATTTGTCTGATTTGGGCTGAGATGGTCAACAGTCAACACTCCTCAGCTGAGGTTACAGTGTGCTAGTGTTACAATTGCTTCTACGCCCAGGTAAGAGGGGTGTGAATACAATACTGACATAAAACAATACATGAACATTTCAAAGCAAGTACGTTCGAATTTGCAGTGAAACACATCGGCTGAGGTGAAGATTTCATACCACACTCCTTAGCCGCCGCATACGACATGTATGGTGTTTTAGTTACAGTATTACAATTATCTGGTTCGCTTAAGGACCCATTTAAGATTAATGCGTGTATATGTATAGATGTTACTAATCTAATACTAAGAATATTTTGGATTAATTAGAATTAATACCTGCAGCTATAAGTATAGTATAGTATAGGTATAGTTTCGATTTGATTTAACATTACTTTAAAAGGTTCACAACTTTGTTGCATGAACCGCTGTAATTAAATCAGAACTTCACTTACAAAGTTGTTCACGTTTCTTATTCCTGAAGACGAAATCGTAGAACTAAGATTAGAATGAATATATATGATAAAAACGTACGAACCATCTTACTATAAACTATAACTATAGCTATAGCAGTTGGTACACACAATACAAACTTCTTAGTATCCAATACAGTATACAGGTCCAAGTAAATGGCACACACACAAGTTAAGTTGGTACATTTCACAAACTTACCTTAAATGATATATTTCCTAGTAAATCCCCACTTGCGTTAACTTGAGCGTTCTAGCCGCAAGCTCAGAATTATTTCTCCTAGTCTTGAGTTTGTGACGAGAAAGAAGTGATCTGAATTCACCATTTCACGGTATACTTGTGCTCTGACTTCTGTTGATTCTCAAAACGAGGCAGCCAATCAAACGTCGCAATT